CTGGCTAGTCTTTGGTCCCTTCGACGTCTGAGGGGCCCCTCTGAGTCTCTGGCGCCAGCGCGGCGGCGGTACCTGGACAATGATTCAATCTCAGCGTATCCTGTCGACGCCGATGAGGACAAATAGATGTCCGTAGGGGGGATAACCATGCACTAGAGAACACGGGGGAGAGATGATGAAATAGCACATCATACTTGACACGGCTGCGATCGTCATAATCCCGGCGGCATGGTCGTTGCAAGCGGCACTTCGAACGCTGCCCTGCGTGCGTCGTGGGAGTACCAATCAACAGATGAAACTCAGTCTATCCTGCCTACCTCGAGCGAGAATGGTAAATAGATAGATCCACCCATAATCAGACAAGTATGCCAGAGAGCCCGGGATTCAAAAGCGGTCTCGGTGTCCGTGCCCTTGGGCGCGTTGGCCTGGCGTGGCCCCCGGAGGGGACCGACAGAATTGGAATCGGTATAGCAGTGGCAATGGGCACTTGCCCCCCCCTTGGCCCCTCGGTAACCTCGGGGGGGGAGGGCCAGAATCGACATCGGAGGCAACTGTGCATCATACCTCCTGGGAGCGGTCCGCCGGAACGCGGGTCGTTACCCCGCATGCCTCGTGGACCCCACGTGTGTGGCCCGCTCACTTTTGGGTGGCAGTTGAGTATCGTTTACCCGATCCCCATCCCCACCAGCGAGGCCTGAACCCCACTGGCACATTTACCCCCCTAGATGGGCATATAGGCAGTATCCTTCAGGTTTCGAGGGGTGTATCCCCAACTTGGGGGGTAATTTGGTGGGGGTCTCGAAGGGAACGGGGATGGGGATAGGGGTCGGTTAAACGATACTGAGCAGTATGGCCATGTCAGGGGTCATGCGGCCCCTCGCAACTGGGTGTTCCCTGGAGAGCGATCGCTGGTCGGGGGGGCGTCGGGGCCAGGACCGTCACGTCACGGAGCGCGATGCCATCACGCCTGTGCAGGCCTGAGCTTGCCGCTTGTGGGGTTCAGCTGCGGCAGGCAGGCCGCCGCAGGAGGCTGCTCGCTGGGTGGCGACTCCCTGGCGAGCGTCCACGTCCGATGAGGCCGGGGTGAGGGTACGGCAGGTTCCTGCTGGGACCGCTCACGCGCTGGCCCCTGACACCGCGCGGAGGGTTCGACCCCGAACGGACAGGCGGCCTCTCGACCGCCAGACCCTTCCGTATGGGCCGGCTCTCGGCCACTGGCGGCGTTCGACCTCGAGGGCCCGCGGTGAGGGGCTCGCCGCCGCGTCGGCACGGCACGAACCTGCCGCAGCTGCACGAGTGGGCAGATGGAAGCCTCCCAGATGGTGTCCGAGTAGACGGGGTCGGAGGATCTCGCGGCATCGCCAATGCATCGCCGATGCATCGGCGACGTTGGCGTGGAGACAATCGGGCTCCACAATCGAGCCGCAAAGCCGCCGCATCGAGCCAAATGCGGCGCGATCGGCCGACCCCATGTCCCTGAGATCCGACGTGGCCCAAAAAATGCAACGTCGTAAAACACTCGCGCTGGGAACTCTAAACTACATTTCTCTGCATCCTTTTTCGAGCCGCATCGATCTGTGCGGGTCCCAGGGCCCGAAAGATCGGCGAGAACGTCCGGCTCGAAATTAGCTTGGCGAAGGACCCAACTATGAAGTTGTGGGCGCCGCAGTTGTGAGAATCGTCTTCGGCGGAGCTCCCTATGGGGCCGAGAAACGTGTGAGGGGTGTGCCGAACTGGGCGTGGAACCGCATGCGAACTTTGCCACTGGGGCCTTCGGTGGAGCTCCCTATGAGGCCACGAACCGTGTGAGGAGTGTGCCAAAATTGGGGTGGAACCGCATGCGAACTTTGCCACTGGGGCCTTCGATGGAGTTCCCTATGGGGCCACAGACTGACGGAGAAGGGGGAGTAGGAGAGGAGGAGAGACGCGGGGCGTTGTCCCCGCGGGGCGTTGTCTCGTCAAAACGAGGACCCAACATCACAGGATGGTTGGGAAACATCGAGACGCGCCAAGATCGGCTGGGGCTCGGACCCCAGATCGAAAAAATGGAAGTGCTCGGATCGAACACACTGGAGCGCTCGGACCCCACTTGGGAGGCCTGGAGCGGCTGGCGCGGGGGCCTCGGCAGGAGCGCCCTGCCCGGGCCAGTACCACCACCGGGCGCCCACCTCGGTGGCTCTCTCTCTTGATCAGCCACCAAAAAGGCGAACGCTTCGGGTGGGAACCTACGCAAGTTGGGAGGGCAAAACAACATCAGGGATGTAGGGGCTCTTTTCTGCAGATGTCTCAGACCGAACTGCCCCACAAAAAAGTATCATATCTAATGCAAGGACGGGTCCCTCAGTGAGGCCACGTCATCGTGTTACGAGGGTTAGGGGTTCTTTTGCTCTCGATGATCTCTCTACCCCTCTCGACCCCGCGCTGGGGCGAGGCCCTGAGGGGGTTGCTAGTGGTGACCCCAGGAAAAGGCGCCCCCAGGACCGGGGGCCCTCGGGGAACAAGTCGAGCCAAGAACCGGGATCGGACAAAGTCCGAGTCTTCGCAAATTGCGTCGCTCGAAGGCCCCCGTGCAGAGACCTCGCAATGAACCCTGCAGTCACCCTGCAACAACCATGTAAAGACCATAAAGAGACCACTGCACAAACCTCGCCAGTAACCTTCAGAAGACGTTACAATACCACACCACACCCTGCGAGGGATCCTTCGATACGTTGCAAGTGCCTACAGCGGGACCTGCGATACCTTGCTACTGTCCTTCAATCTCTCCAGCACCCAGCCCTCTGGACGTAGAACGTTTGAAGAATCCCGTCTTCGCTGGAGGGCCCCCGCTCCGCCCCTCCTCCGCCTCCCCGTTGTTCTGGAGGCGTGCTCGCTGAGAATCGGGGGCCCACTCGGACCTCGATCCTCGAGCCTCGAGCCTCGACGCCTGCTATTTCGAGCCTGGAGCATAAGCGTCGGTCAGACGAAGTGGGTAGAAACACGAAGTAGAAAGTCGTTGGAAGTGCATTGGGCGCCCGCCCCCTGAAGGGGAGGGAAGAGGGAAAACCGCTCGACGCTTGATCCAGGAAGGCGGCTAGAATAGATTGGGATATGGGGATCCAGCAATGCCTCCTTACAACGACTGGCGCTCTTGAAGTAGGAAGGCGGCTGAAGCAGATTGGTTAGACTGGGATCTGGGGCTCCAGACATGCCTCCAGTCAACGACCGGCGCGTCCTCCTCGAGAACGCGTGCCAGAGCCCTGCCGCCTGTGCCTGGGCCTGCGGGCACGGGAAGACCTGGAGGAGCCTCCGCAGGAGGCGCCCCGCCCTCCGAGACGCCCGCAGGGGTCCCCCGCAACGCGGATGAGGCGGGCAGGACGTGTTCGGTTTGTCGCGTCCGCGCAGAATGACGGCGCTCTTGCTCCGGTCGGCCAAAGGGCTCCTCCTCCTCCCCCTCCTCCTCCACCTCCTCCTCCACCTCCTCCAACTCCTCGTCCTCCAACTCCTCCAAATCCTCCTCCCCAGGATCCCCCTCTCCGCCCCCCTCCTCCCACTCCTCCCCCTCCTCCTCCACCTCCTCCCCCTCCTCCTCCTCGAGCCCCTCCGCCCTCTCCTCCCCCCCCTCCTCCCCAACGCTGCCATTACTGCTGGGCCAACAGGAGCATCTGATGCATCACCCCACGACGAGGCGGGCGGGCAGGAGGGGGAGGACGCACGGGTGCCGAACGACGCCCGATGATCGTGGCGGGTGGATTTAGCTGTGCCTGCCGGGGCCCACCAGCAGCGCCAGCGCCGCCACGAGCGCCGCCGCGACGAACGGCCACGCCAGGTGAAGGCCAGGCCATCCCCAAGCAGCGGCGGAGCCCACGACGTTGCCTCCGGTCAGGGACAGATTGGCGCAAGCAGGCACGCTAACCGATGCCGAGAAAAGCACTGCTGAACATCTCCCCCTTCGAAATCGAAAGAAAAGAGCAGGATGAGGCAGGAGACAAAGAGGAAGAGGGGAACCGGGATGCGCAGAGAGAGTGGAGACGAGAGAGGACGAGTGGAAGAACCAGAAGGCAGAAGAGGCGAAGGACAACCAAGGAGGAGGGCAAGGACAGAGACGCGGGAAGAGCAGAGGGAGCAGGAGCAGGAGGAGCAGCCGCGAAAAGCGAAAGGAGGAAGCCGTGGTTTTCCTGGGTTCCCTCCCTTTTCTGTCCTTTCCTCCTAGCGCCCTGCTTGCCGTATCCGCCTGGCCCCTCTTCCGCCTGGGAAGGTGGGGCGGTGGCTCGATCATGCATTTCCACACTTATGATAATGGTTTACGAACCATTATCATACGTGTGGCCTTAGCTTGAGACCGCATCTGAAACCATTTCCATACTGCTTGGCGCCTGAAACAAACTTGGACAGGAGGAGGAGGAGGAGGAGGAAGAGGAGAAAGGAGGAGGAGAGGGAGGAGGAGGGGGGAGGAGGAGGGGGAGGAGGGGGATGATGTGGGAGACGGGGGAGGAGGAGGGAGCGGAAGAGGAGGATGAGGAGGAGGGGAAGGAGATCGAGGAGGATGATCACATTGGGCACGGCGCGATAACATAGTATAGCACTAGCAATAGCAATAGCACAGCATAGCATAGCAGAGCACTAGCATTCGCATAGCATAGCATAGCATAGCATAGCATAGTATTATAATCGTATGCCATCGTGTACATTTCAGAACACAGCAAATCATACCACAACATATCATAACATACCGTAGTGTGGTATAGCATCGCATCCATATCATATATATCATAACATATCATAGCATATCATATCATATCATAGCATCGTTTATCATAGCATAGTGCAGCACAGCATAGCATAGATGCGCGCGGTGGGTAGCATAGCATATCATAGCATCGCATATCATAGCATAGCATAGTACACCAGTAGTTCCAACAACACTGTGGCGATACAGAAATCGCCCGATTCGTATCGGTGGCGCGCGGGTGTTTGAACAGTTTGACGATCGCTTTTGCATCGTTGCATCTATATGTGTGTATTTGTTTCGCAATGGCGTCAATCATGGTCGCAGTGTTGTTGCATGCGCCGTTGAGCACATGTGCAATGTATGTTCGTTCACTCGCACGCACTGAATATGAAATGCTTGAATTTGTTCTCTGTTCATGACGTTGTATCTACTGGCCTTCGGCCTATCCCGCCACCATGGACCGTGCCTGGGTAGTGGGCCAGAGTCCTCAGGGATGCTTCTTGGGATATGTTCGGAGGGTTCTCGGGGGCCTCCAGAGGTAGCAGTGTTGCTGCATGTTGAAAACATGTTTGGACCTCTTGGGGGCTAGGCGCACTGCAATCTAATGTTGCGCACACACGCACACATAACATAGTTAGTGTACTGGATGCAAGTTTTACATCGCCTTGGTAGTGAAATTTGAAGCGGTTACTTGCAGCCGCTTCTCTTATGCAACCACTGGCCATATTCACTGACGCCAACCACCGACTCGATTTATCCATGTTTCATTTCGGCTTTGACTCGAACTTCAAGCAACGATGGCAATCGGATCGGCGACAGCCTCAAGGAATTTATGTATGACAAGCGTCCAACTTCCATTAACATCAAATTGTTTCCACGTCGGCCGACAGAAAGGATGCCTTGTGAAATCGTCGGGCCTATCAGCGCCCGCCAGTCCCAAGCAAGAGAACAGTCAGAACATGCGCAAGTGTATCCACGGGCACAGTACACAGCCTACTTCACGCATAGGAAAACAAAACGGCACAGAAGCATGTCAACCCCTCCCTTTACCTCGGCCTCGGCCCCTGCCGCGGCCACCTCTGCCACGCCCTTTAGCGTGGCCTTTCGGTGGCGCAGGGGGTGGCACATAGTGTGGATCAACTGCTACCAACAAAGCTGCCTTGCTCAAGTTTCTCCACAGCGTCACCCGATCGTCACCCTGGACGATTTCCAAACGCCTCGCGAGTGCCATTTTCGCGTGGTCGCCGATGGGCTTTGAAGCCCAAAAACTTCCTCTGCATCAGAAGAGGCTGTCAGTTCAAAGACAAAGGGGTCACCATCAAAATTATCATCCGATGCATGTAAACGGGAGTGCTCATACCTCACGAGTGCGCAGCCCATGATGCAGGCTTCTAGTTTGACCTCGACATCTCTAGCAGTGTCGTTGGGCGACGTATCCACGTACTTACCAGCAGCTCGAACAATCTCAGCAACACTCAACAACATGAGTTCCATCGATCTGCTGCCCCTCGAAACTCGCTGGACCACCGTGCCATCTGGAGTGCCATGAGATTTCTCGAACCAGCATACACTGAGAGACCGACCAAGAGCGTCGCCAACTCCTCGCTGCTCTCGACCAGGTAACGACTTGTGTTCAGCAGCGAAGAAGAATTTGCTAGGGTCTCAAGGGCAAGAAATACAAAACCATGAACTCGTCCACGCCAACGCGCACTGCACCATGTTGATCATCAACTTGGTTTCGAGCCCTAGGGCCCTTTCAAACCTGGTGGTGTCCCCTCCCCTCCAGCGTTGCCCATGTTCCCGACAGCGCGCGTGGAACAGTTCAGATCATAGGTTTCTCGCCCCCTTATAGATCATAAAATGCATAAAACTGCATGGTCACCAGTACCTCGAGGAGGAGGGGGGCGACGACTAGGAATGAGGAGGAGGAGGAGGAGGCGGACTGGAGTAGTAAACTTCAGCCCAGAGTGACAACAGGGAACCGCCCAGACCCACCTGTTCAGAGAACGCAATGACCACACTAAGCGAAACGTATGCAATGCAAAGCAATGGAGTTGCAATGCAATGGCTGCACCAAACAATGCAATGCACTGCAATGGCTACACCTAACTTGAACACATACGCAATGCAACTACCACACTACATGAAACCTGGCCAGCTCTGGAAACTGCAATGTTCACCCTGGTGGCCTGAAAACTGTCTGACTGGTTTGGGGTCCCCAGGGCGACCTCCCTAACGTAATTGGCCCAACTGTTTTCAGGTGTCTTGTCGGATGGAGCGGCGGCATGCGGTGCTCGCAATAGTTCCACGTCGTGCACTGTCAAGTTGAAGCGCTCCCTGTAGAGGTCTGCGTGTCGGCTTCCAGCCAACACGCCAGAGTCCCGCACTGCTTTGTATTGAAGCCATTGGGCATGCCGCAACAATTGAAAATGCACCCTGAGTTCGCGCATTGGTGGCAGGTCGTCTTTCGAAATCATTATCTTGTGGTGTAGCCTTAAAATTGCATTCATGAGCGGCAGCTTGATGCCTGGGAACTTTCTTAGCAAGTGTTGCCATCTCGCATGGGTGCCCTCTGCGCCCAGGACAGTATCAGGGTTCCCAAGGAAACGAGGAGCGAGCAACGTAAACAAGTTTTTGTAGGCACCATTGTCTCTCCAAAGTAATACGGGACTGCGGCGCTCAGCAAATGCAGATAGCTCTGCCATCAATCCGTCGTCTTGTCTGAATGCACTTTCAAAAGGTGTACCTCGCCCTGGGGCCAGCCTGATAAGGTGATCGTGTAGGGTCCTCGCGTTTTCCTGTGCCATTGTTGCATCAGTCGAAAGCAATGATCCTGCCAGCCACGTTGTACGACCTATATTCTCAAAAACCAAGCGCGCGTGTGATACCATTTTCAGTGAAACTGTCATGTGGAACTCGTTGATGTCGTCAACGAGGTCCTCGTGGCCAAGCCGTCGAGCCAGCACTCTTGGCCATGGCATTTCGAATTCACCTCTGTTCATGAGGTCACCAATGTCTGTACCGAGACACCCCATCAAATGTTCTGAAGTCTCAGTTGTGCTGATAATGGACACAGCCTTTTCAACAACGTGATGCAATACAGATGTTGACAATATGTAGCTGTGCTTCTGTGCGAAACGATGCAAGTAGAGCCCCTTCTCCAACAGCTCCATCAATGCTGCGCGCTGAAGGTTCTCCCATCCGCTGTTCAATGATTCCAACGCTTTTGTGGTATCGCTTTGCAAGTCCCTCTGTGTTAAATCTAACGCCATGCGCTTGGAAAGAACGCGTGCTCGTGGCGTCAACCACTTCATGAACAGATGGTCCGTCTCAGGTCGATTGTCAATGATTTTCGGAGGAACGCTGCCAAATACATCTCGGAACGCAGCCGAGTTCGACTGCATCAGTTCGAGGCCTCCGTTATCTCTGGTAGCTGTTGCAATAGATTGGAGCCGACGCCATGCGATGCCATCATGCAGGTAGTTGCAAATCTTGATAGTGTTTGTCGAAATCCCTGATGCATTCAAGCCTGCAGTGCAAATATTCCAGGCTATGTGTTCGAGCCCTCGTCTGCGAATATAGAATGGAGATTCAGCCTCGAAAGCTGCGTGGACGCCCTGGTAGCCTTCGTTTTCCCCTCCACCATCCCCTGTACCTGAAATGACATCGACCAACGTACATCCGATACGGTCCAACTGCTTACAAAGGATGTTAGTTACAGTTTTCCCATCCTTGCCTGGCGCGTGACAAATATCACATGGGAACGACTCGACGTGCATTGGGGGGCTCTCTCTCCATATGTCGTCCTCCCATTCCGCCACAGGTCTGAGGAATGGTAGGTACGCTATTGTGATTTGAAATCTGTGTCCAGACCAAACATTGCCAGGCGCAGGAGACTCATCTGTTTCAAATCCCAGCCCAAAAAAAGATGTGCCCCTGGATTCTGCTATTCTCTGTTTTACAACCTCTTCAAACGCATCTGCCAACAGTTCTGTTGACCTGCATAACGTTGCCCTTTGAGGCATGTTGTCGAACACAGACGAGCCCTGGAAATCTGGGCCAAGTGCTCTGATAATATGTTCTGCTCCTCTCAGACTGCCAGCTACGTTGTTAAGTCCCAGTTTGTGCTCCACTGCATGAAGAATGGTCATGATTGTTCTGTCGTCTCTCTCCTCGCGCAATTCATTTTTTTTTCTAATACCGACTGCGCCGCAACCAAATTCCAAATCGTGAAAGCGACCTTGTTTGCGTAACCCATTTTCCCGAACCGTGCTTAACAACTCTTCGAGCAACAATGGCGCAGTGGGGCCTCTTTGGGGGAGGGGGCAGACATCCAACTCGACCACAAAGCCCAAGCTCACCTCCACCACCCTGCTATGACACGTCAAATGGCATGAACGCGCCTGAACACACAAGCGGTTCCAATACGCAAACCTTGCGTCATAAACCAAGGGCAACGAAACCGAGACCACCCACTACAAACATATAGCCCAAACTGCATTGTGATAACAAACAACATGTTATTGGAATCGTGGTTTGTGATATACGGGTGGGGCGGCAATGCAGGGCAATGTGTTCGCATTGATTTCTGTCCTCCCAGACCTTCCCCTAGATCGTTGGTCAAACCCAACGAGAAGAATACCCACTTGTGGATGATGGGCAGCAGGCTCTTGCCAACTATAGCCCTCGGTAGTTTGCCAGCCAAGAGAGCATATCCTAGCGCAAAGCTCGGCCGTCGATATGAACACACCTGCACGGACGCATTGTGGCGGCACTTCGATTCCGTGCATTTATATATCGACATAAAAGTCAAGTGCATTGCAAACCATGTTCAGTTTCCCCCCCCCCCCATGCACCACCCTACCCATCCGATTTATTTACTTGTGGTTGTGCCAGCGCTCTCGCCTACAGATACCTCGTCTACGTGTTTCAAATGGGCACACACAATCGAAAAACATCTGGGGTATTACAAAGAGTGGTACACGTTGGGGTCCCTGTTCCCCCCCCCCAGTCATCCCGTGGTGTTGGGTCCTCGTTTTGAAGAGATGACCCCCCGCGTTCCCCCCCTCCCCTATCATATCCTCTCCTCCTCCGTGGCCCCACAGGGAGCTCAACCGACAGCCCCAGTGGCCGCGCTTGCATGCGTCAACGCCACGCATTTCGGCACCCCCCTCACACGGTTCGTTGCCCCACAGGGAGTTCCACCGAATGCCCCAGCGGCGGGGTTTGCATGCGCCAACGGCCCCCATCCTGGCACACCCTTCACACGGTTCGCGGCACCACAAGGGGCTCTATCGAATGTTCCATTGGCCGCGCTTGCATGCGTCAGCGCCACCCAGTCTTGTCCCCTTCACATTGTTCGTGCCCCCGCAGGGAGCTACACCGAAAGCTCCAGTGGCCGCGCTTGCATGCGTCAACGCCACCCATTTCGGCACGCCCCCCACACGGTCCGTGGCCCCATAGGAAGGTACACCGAAAGCCCCAGTTGCAGTGCCCGCGCTGCAGGTTTGATGCATCACCGCGCAAGTTTAGGAATTAGCTTTGCACGGCTATGTGCGCCGCCCCACATGTTTAGTTTGGGATCGCGAGGAGTCTAGACATTGCCCCCCATTTCGCTTGCACGCGTCAACACAACCTATTTCGGCAAACCCCTCACACGGTTCGTGGCCCCACGGGGAGTTCAACCGAAGGCTCCAGCGGCCGCGCTTGCATGCGCCAACGCCACCCACATCGGTACACCCCTCACACGGTTCGTAGCCCCACAGGGAGCTCATTCGAAGGCGTTGGCGGTTGCGTTGGCATGGCGCCACCGCGGCCATCTCGGCACACCATTCGCACGCTTCGTCGCCTCATAGGGAGCTCCGCCGAAGGCGGCAGCGGCTGAGCTCGCATGGCGCCACCGCGCCGATGTCGGCACACCCCTCACACGTTTCGTGGCCCCGTGCGGATCCCCACCGCCCCATAGGGAGCTCCACCGAAGGCCACAGTGGCCGCGTTCGCATGGCAACATCGCACCGATTTCGGCACTCCTCACACGCTTCGTGGCCCAATGAGGAAACCCCACCGAATGCCCCAGTGGCTGCGTTTGCATGGCGCCACCGCACCCACTTGGGCACACCCTCAGACGCTTCGTGGCCCCATAGGGAGTTCCACCGACGGCCCCAGCGGCTGCGCTGGCATGGCAACATCGCACCCGTTTCGGCACACTCCTCACACGCTTCGTGGCCCCCATAGGGGGCTCCACCGAAGGCGGCAGCGGCTGAGATCGCATGGCGCCACCGCACCCACGTCGGCACACCCCTCACGCGTTTCGCGGCCCCACAGGGAGCTCCACCAAAGGCTCCAGTGGTTGCGTTCGCATGGCGCTACCGCACCCATGTCGGCCAACCCCTCACACGCTTCGTGGCCCCATAGGGGGCTCCACCGAAGGCCCCAGCGGCTGCGCTCGCATGGCGCCACCGCACATATTTCGGCAACCGCTCAAACGCTTCGTGGCCCCATGAGGAGCCAACCGAAGGCCCAAGCGGCTGCGTTCGCATGGCGCCACCGCGCCCATGTCGGAACGCCCCTCAGGCGTTTCGCGGCATCCATGCGCGCCGTCCGCGTCCCATCCTTTGTGTTCGTGGCGCGCTGCTAATGATGAGAACATCGCGCATTGCGATACTCGCAGCTGCAAGTGGCTGGGCCGCCAAGCTAATTCAACCAAGCACGTGCACGTGTATACGTATGTGTGCGCGGTGTACACATGCGTTGTATACGTATGTACGCACGCGCGTGTGTGCTCGACTGTGCCTAGATGAGCTAGGTGTGTGTGTGTGCATGCTTGCGTGTGTGCGTATGCGTACATGTTTATTCGCGCGTGTGCGCACACGTAGTGTCTGTCTGCATGATGGCGTGTTGGTTGGACGGCGCGTCTTGCCCAGGATGTGTTCGTCGCGTTGCGTATTTGCCACAGTGGTTTGGATATGCATGGTCGAAGTGTCTGTGCATCTTGAGCGAATGATTGCAATTGTGTAGCGATATGCACGTCGCGCTTACATGTCCCAAGTCTTAACGCCATAGAAATCACATGCAGATGGCTTTGTTGTTTTGAGGCCTACGTCTCACACGATATGCGCGCACCTCGTACATTCGTTTCCCAGCCAACCTTCGTTTCCCAGCCAACCTCCTCTCCTCTCCTCTCCTCGCCTCCCCTCCCCCCCCTCTCCCCCCACAGATTCCTCGTCATCATGCTCATCAGCATCCTCTTCTCAATTAGGTAATTCCATTTCGGCATGCCCATCACATGGTTCGTAGCCCCATTGAAAACCCAGCCGAAGGTCCCAACTGGAGCTCAACCGAAGGTCGCAATAGCGCAATTCGCATGCGGCCCCACATCCCACTTCAGCACAGCCCTCACACGTTGCGTGGTCGCATGGGGGGGGGATCCCCCCGCCGTCCCGAGCTCTTCCGCGGTACTCACAGCTGCACAGGATCAGGCATTTCGCCATTGTATTTTGTTGTTGAGTGGAGAGGGCAGTTGGAATCGAAACGCAGCCACCTCCGCGATCGAATCGCCTATGAGTTCTATATCCACAGCGTCAACGCCAATAGCCCGAGAAATCTGGTCCAACATGAAGCGCCGAAGATCATCGACTGTATCGCATCTGCCAGTGCCTGCATCGGCATGCCGAACCTGAGCGATCACGCACTCCGAACAAATGTCGTACTCCTCATTGAAAGGAATAGCCCCACGACCATCTATGCACGACTCGATCGCGAGGACCATATGGTGAAACAGATACCACATCGCCTGGTTGAAGGAATAGCATGTGTGTGCACTTGCAGCCTTTCTGTTAAGATGCTGCGTCGAAGTGCTCTCGAAAGCGATGGGGCACTCCTTCATGTGATGCACAACCTTCCTGACATCGGTGTCGACATGACCAACATGTCGAGCTCGGGCCCGAGCCTTGCTTGACACATCCGACAAACCAACATGCAAAAGGAACGAGCATACGTGCTTCCCTTCCAATGCATAGCCACATGCCTCAGCATCGCTAGCTGCGTGCAGGGATGGATGGTTGGAGCGCACGGTGCACCCCCAAATGGCATGGGGTCGCTCTGATGCCGAGCCATCGGTCATCATGAGAAGAAGGCTTGAGCCAGGGAATGCACACAGAACGAAATCTCCAGCCACTATCGCTTCCCCATCAGTGCCATCGTACGCTCCCTCCCCCTCCCCATCGTAGTCCTCCTCCTCCTTCTCCTCTGATCACTTTACTGCTCCTCGCCGTGGGCTGTCCCCGACGAGCGTTTTGTCTTACCACATGGTGAGTAGAGCTCGCCTTGTGCAACGGTCGCCCTCTGCATCGGTCTGCCTGTGATGCTGTGCCGTCACCTCACTGTGCAAGCGTTTCGTTTTTTTCAGCCATTACTTGCATCGCCACCATGTAAGGTGCGCGTGACAACTTAGCGCTGACGTAAACAAAATCCCCCATTCTCCTCTTCCTCAGCCTCCCCCTCCACACTCCCCCTCCTCATCTTACTCATCACCCCCCCCCTGCCCTTCTGGCGCATTGTCGTGGACGGCACAAGACTCCCAAAGTAGATTCGACTTTTACGCGAATTCGAAACGGCATGCAGCCCGACTGACAAACGACCTCGAAGCATCTGGCGCTATCGGGTTCCCATGGCCCCTCCCCCACCCCATGCCCTGCAAAGTTCTAGACACGCGTGTCTGCTCAGCACGCAATTGATGTGTGGTGCCTGTTGGGCGTGCAGCGTGGTGGTGATGGAGGTCTTGCCCCCTCGTTCGTGCAGGGGGGAGGGACGGGGTGGGTGATGGGGTGTAAGGCTGTGCAGGTGTGCCTTGTTCCGTAATGCAGGTATGGTCAGCAATATCTCGGCACGATCAGAAGAGGGGAATGCGGGGGAGGAGGGGGACAGAGAAGGGGGATGTGGATGACTAGGGGAAGAGGGAGGAGGGAGAGGGCAGATGAGGATGAGAAGGAGGACACGCTGCCCCTTGTCTCGCATTGCAGCTTGAGAGGTGACATATGTTGCCGTCATCGGGGGAGTGGGCGACCAGTGCTAGTTCGATGGAGGAAGGGGGGAGGACGCGGGTGAGGGGGATGGGGAGGAGGAGGAGGAGGAGGAGGAGGAGGAGGAGGAGGAGGAGGAGGAGGAGGAGGAGGGGTGACGGGGGAGGGAGATGATGGGATAGATTGGAGGGGAATGTGCATCACCGACCGAGCCATCGCCACATCGGATATCTGGTTTCAGCAGAGCGCGTTCAGCTCGACCCCACCAAGCGTTTGCGCACCGTCAGCAGTGCTGCGCGCATAGCCTAAGCAGCACACGCAGAGTGACTAAAGAAAATGCGTGCGATCATCCAGCGTTGTGTCCGAAACTGTAGGTTGAAGAAGAGGGGGACGAGGAAGATGATGGTGAGAATGATGATGAGGAGGAACACTAGCACAGTAAACAATCTAGGTCCTACTCACCAGCGGCATCGGATGATGGCCGCCACTCGGAAACCGTCCCCTCGGTAGCGTACGTCATAGCTGCAGTCCTCGCTGCATCCAACCACTTTGCATATTCGAATGGGTTGACCGACTTACGGATGGGAATGCGAAACGATTTGTAGGCCCTAGACAGGGCTGACTCCTTCGGGGGCTGTGCAATGAACTGGCGCTTGCTGGGAGCCCACTTCACAAACCCGCAAGACGTTTTCAATTGACGGATCTGTTCGAGCGCAGCGGCATGTTCGCGCGCGTCCCCGTCTGCAGGTGTTCCACCATCACGATCACCATCAGAACCAGCATCTGAGCGTGCGTCATCCACATCAGTATCCTCTCCATCGCCCTCTGCGCGCGCGGAACCAGCATCGCCACGATCACTACTGGGATGGTCCTATGGGTATGCTGTAAATGAACACATCAGACACAGACCCACACGTAGCAAGGAACGGACTGGGAGGAGGAGGCGGATGAGAAGGAGGAGGGGGAGGAGGAGGAGGAGGAGGAGGAGGAGGAGGAAGAGGGGGATGGCAAGGGAGGGGGAGGAGGAGGGTACGGGAGGGTGGGGGAGGGGGACGGATGACGGTGGACGGAGGAGGAGGAGGAGGAGGAGGAGGAGGAGGAGGAGGAGGAGGAGGGATATCATGGTGCCACCAGAGCCGTGGGTACCCTAGTGCCGATTGGATTGTCACGATATCGACCACGGCTTCGGTGCTAATCTCGCCAGGCGACATCGCCGATCGGATAGAGGAGAAGGAGGAGGGGGAGGAGGAGGAGGAGGAGGAGGCGGTGGAGGGGTGGATTATGAGAAGAAGGATGATGATCCTTGTTTGCACTGCTCGATGCCGCTGAAGATAGACGTGGCGATGTAGGTCGGTGTGCTGGCAATCTTGGAGGGGGCGTGCAAGTCCTTATAGATCTCGTTAACCACCCGCTGTAAGTCATCGTACATATCGCCGTTCAGGACGAGCTGCAGCGAGCCGATATCGTTGATAAATTCGAGCGTGTGGCCACGAATCTCGAGTGAAACAGTAGGTAGAGCTTTGTTACCTTTCCACATTGCGTTCGCACGGGAGCCACGGCTGTCTTTCAACGCAGCCTCTATCTCACACAACACGCTCCCTTTAGGCAAAAGGGTCCAGCCAAACGCCTTGCACATCCACATGGACTTCTTCGGTTTGAGGTTCACGGCTTTCGCAGTGCGATCACCTGGGGGTACAATCAACGCCAAAAGGAAACATGGCCGAGCTCGATAATAGGAACACACAGTCATAGAGGATGCGTGGACGTGGACAAGGAGGAGGGGGAGGAGGAGTATACGGAAGAGGAGGAGGATGCTGAGGAGGGGGAGGAGGACTATCATGCTGATTTTCCAATCACATATAGCTCGCTGGTGAGTTCGCGATTGCCCCACCCCCTATGACCTAAGTCGACGATCTCATACTCGACTGCCTGCTTCGCGACGCAGATCTGGTTCGAAACTAGGGGGGGCTCACCTGAAGACCTGTGACGCCGAAGTCGCTTGCATGATCCACGCTCGCTCGTTGTCACCGAACCAACCGTACTGGTCCGCGTGGCAGCCATCTCCGAGTCGTGTTCGGTGGGGGAGTAACTTGACATTGTCGGAACTCACTTGGGCATAATCGCACTACAACGGAGGAGGAGGACGACGACGACACAAGGAGGGAGGAGGAGGAGGAGGACGAGGAGGATGTGGACGATGAGGGGGGGGGCGTGATGGAAGTGTGCTATTATCCCACTTCCCTCACCATGTCCGTGATGGAAGTGTGCTATTAGCCCACTTCCATCACGCACCCTCCCTCCTCGTCTTCACCCTCCTCGTGCTCGTCCCCCTCGTCCTCGTCAACCTCGTCCTCATCCTCATCCTCATCATCCCTCCTCATTCTCCCATCTCCCTCCCTCTGAGCCTCCCTCCCCCTCCCCGTCACCACCTCCCCCCATCATCAACCCCTGCCCCGCACCCCGTCGCCCGCCCGCATACGCGCTCTACTGCATCGTGGTGGGCAGGGGGTTCATCAAGGCGCGCGGCGCCCGTCGGCTTCGGAAGGAGCTCCGATCCCCCCTACCCCCCCTCCTCCTCCTCACCCTTCCCCCCTCCTCCTCCTCCTCATCCTCCTCCTCCTCATCCTCATCCTCCGCCTCCTCCTCCTCCTTCTCCTCCTCCTCCTCCTCCTCCTCCTCATCCCCCTCCTCGCCCCCTCTCCTCCTCCTACTCCTCCTGTCTGTCCTCATCATCCTCCCGTCCTCCTTCTCCGCATCTTTCTCCTCATCTTCATCCTTCATTTGCCTCCTCCTCATCATCATCCTCATCCGCATCTAACTCCAAGGTGCGCGTGTGTGCGTGGGTGCGTCCTAGGGCCTGTGTGTGTCACAGGACCCGTGCGAACTACCAGGGACATCCAGAAACACCATCGACCTTCGGTCCTGGAACATCGAACCCCTCGAGAAGTGAGCGACCCCCGTAGTGGTGACCCCCTCCCCCCATGAGTCTGGATGACCATTGGACAACGAAAATGTTTGATTCCTCCGGTAGAATTGACACACACATGTGTCACACGAACCGAATGTCATTGAGCCTGGCACCGCGTTCACTACGACGCCGAGCCCTAACCAGTGTGCGAGGCCTTGATGTGCTTGTGCAGGTCGACGTCATCCATCGCCGCGAGTTTGGTGTGCTTCACGATCTTCTTGGGGTTGATGAGATAGGGGAGCTTGAACTCGTCCCCTGAGGTCATATCGGAAAACGTGCGCTTGTTTGGCACGCCTGGCAACGTGATCTTCATACTGTGCTCCACTGACGTGTACTGTATCACCAAATTCGCATCAGACTTCTGTGTGGTACGCTGAACGGTCCAAAACAAACTGAATGCCTTCTTCTCGTCGGACTTCTGCTCGATCTGTGGCTTCTGATACAGCCTGCCATCCAAGGCAACAGGCTTGCTCGCCTCATTCAACTTGACTGTGACTGACTTCCCGAAGCTCCAATACCTGGTGCAATCAGACACCTATTGACCGTGCCGAAATTAGTGCGACGAAAAGGAGGATGAGGAGGAGGAGGTGGTGGATGAGGAGGAGGAGCAGGAGGAGGAGGAGGAGGAAGAGGAGGAGGAGGAGGAGGAGGAGGGAGGATGGATGATGTGGGGCCGATGTATTGAACGGGCGCAGTGCCTGTCTTTCACCTCTGCAGCGTGGGGGAACATCACCAGCGAGTTGGCCTTGAACTCGGTGAGGGCCCACACCTCGAACTGCGACCCACGCTTCACGACGAGGA